CCGCGGCGCCCCGCGGTCTCGCTCGAGCGAGGGGACCGGGCCAGGGCGAGCGCCCGGCGGACGCGAGTGCGCATGCGCAGAGCCCCGGGCCCCCGTCCCCGTCAGCGCCGCCAGGGCCACGCCCTCCAGCCTCGCGTGGGCGGCGGAGGGGCGCGCCCGCTGCCGGGTCGCGCGGCCGCGGGGCGGCGCGAACTGGGCTCTTGTCGTGGGCGGCGAGGGGCGCGGCCCGCGCGACGCTCACGTGGCGCAGATGAGCCCGCGGCGTCCTCGGCGGGGGTCCCGAGGGGTCGCGCGCCCCGCCATCCCGCGGCGGAAGCGCGGGCCCCACCCGGGGAGAGCCCGGGGGCGGCTGCTCCTGGGCGCGCGCCGCGCGGGCCACGTGGGCCCCGGCGAGGGACGAGGGGCGTCCTCGCCTGCGTGCCCAGCGCCACAGTCCGTTGGGGACAGCAGCGGAGGAAGAGCCCTCCCCAGCCGACCGGAGCCGGAGGAGGGAGCGGGAAAGCCTCCGACTCAAGCCCGGGAGTCTCGCCACATAACGGAAACAGCGTAAGACACCCCTGAACTGGTTAGGCAATTGGGATGAGAGGGTCAGGGCTTGAGGTTTGAGGCCTAATGTTTACGGTTAGGACTTCAGGGTGAAGGTTCTGTGAGCGATGCGGTTTAAGGAGAATTCGGAGATGGGCACGGGCGTTGGGGTCAGGCGAAGGGTTAGGACTAGAGTTAGAGGGTTAAGGGACAGGGTGAGGGTTGAGGCTGAGAGACGAGGGTTGGAGGCGAGGGCTCGGGGTTAGTGCGGGCGAGGTGAGTAGCCCAGCGTTAGGACAGGGTCCGGGTGAGGGGATCAGCGTGGAAAAGGGTCGGGGGTTGGGGTTAATATTTGGGGTTTAGGGCCTGGGGTTAGGTTCAATGCCAGAGAATGGGTATAGAGTGAATGCATTTAGGTGTTAGAGTTGAGGGTTAGGGTAGGCTAGGGTCTGGGGTTTGGTTTAGAGGTTAAGTAAGCGTTTCGGTTGCAGTTTGGGTTAGAGGATGTTAGGGTTAGAGGTTTAGAGTTTAGGATTGAGGGTGGAGGTTGGGGTTAGGGTTAGAGTATTAGGGTTAGACTCAGAGGGTTTGTGTTTGTGCTTGGATTGAGGTTAGGATTAGGAATGTTGGTTCCATTGCCCATCCTCGATTCGCAGTGAATGTCCCTGTGTTACTCTTGGGGCTATGGCTTAGGGGCTAGGGCCAGTGCCTCGGGTTAAGGGATGGGGTCATAGAGTTGGGGTTAGGGATTAGGGTTAGGGTTAAGACTTAATTTTTGCATCATGGGTTTTTTTCTCAGTGGGCCACATAGGCTCAGTGGGGTGGGTAGTTGAATTTCTGTTTTAGCTTCTGAGAAATGATTTTAAGTCTTTTTTCTTTCTGAGCCCGCAATTTAAAGATTTATTTTTCCTTTCTAATCTAATTGTGTACCTGACTGGGAGATTCTAGAAACTGACCTTGTAATAGTATAGTCTGAGACCCCCATGGCAGAATTCTCCATTGCTCACGGTTATGACTATATCAGCCAATCCTCCAAGTGGATGACGATTTGGGGGGGGAAAATCCCATCAATTTTCCAGGTGGATGACGATTCATCATAACCATGGAAACAAGATTAGGTCTGTGTATTGCTCCCAGATATTCCTAATTCCTTTCTTTTGCTCTTACAAATTCCTGACCTTTATCTGGTGCATGCCACTATGCCTGCTTACTTTTTTTGGATTTATTGTAGAGACAAGGTCTCACCAAGTTGCCCAGGCTGGTCTTGAAACCCTGAGCTCAGGCAATCCTTTCACCTCCACCTCCCAAAGTTGCTGGGATTACAGGTGTGGGTCACTTGATTTATTTTTCAAACAAAGAAGGCTAGATTTATACACTTTTTCATCTATCTATGCATTTAACTATCCATTCCATTCACTCATCCCTTAAATACACAGGTAAGCAGGACATGCAATATCTCAGATGCTACACTGATGTTGGAAAAATCAACTAGTATACATATTTCCTGATGTCAAGAAGCTTCTAACATGAGTGTCTTGGCTAAAAAAGTGAATATATACCTTCAAGACAAGTTAATACAAATATAATAAATTAATATGCAAAGTATTTTGGAAACAAGAAGTACAAATTATTCAATTCAGTAATGTTTCACAGAGTAGAAGAATTTTGGACAGAAAATTTCTGGAAGGGATGATGAAACATTTCAAAGCATTGAGTTCAAAAGTCTTTATTTCTAGAAAATGTGAAACATTTAAAATAATGACACATAAGATATTCATGGCATAGTTTCTGCTGGTAAGGTTGGAGAGCAAGCTATGTATTGACTGTTCTTGAATAAGCTAGGTGTTGACTGTTCTTAATTCTTAGACGTTAGAGGCTCCAGATTCTTTCTAATAGCTTTCTGAGGACATTTTTTACATCCTGGTTTATGAAGCTATAGGTTATTATAGGGCTAAACATGGGAACAACAGTATAAACACTGCAATCACTTTATCAGTGTCTAGAGAGTAGTTGGTGGTGGGAGGTAAGTACAAAAACAGGAGTGTTTCATAGAATCTAGTGACTGCCAGGAGGTGGGAAGCACAGGTGTAGAATGTTTTGCTTCTGCCGCCTGAAGACTTGATTCTCAATACAGTGATGAGGATGCAGAAGAGACTAAACGTGACCATAAAGGGGCTGGTCTAAAGGAAGCCACACAAGGCAAAGAGCAGAAGCTTACTCATGTGGGTATCTGCACATGATAAAGCGAGGAGAGTTGGGATATCCCCAAAAAATAAACTATTAAGGATATTGGAGCCACAACATGGCAACCTGAATGTGAGGCAGACGTGAACCAATGCACTCATACTAAAGAAAGCCAACAAAATGAAGCAGATTTGACCCTCCTAGACATCAGTATAGAAATAGAGCAGTGGGGTACAGATGGCTGCATGGTGGTCATAGGCCACTCCTGCCAGGATAAGACACTCTACATCAGCAAAACAAGCAAAAAACAGACTCCAACAACAACAGACATTTGTAGTTCACTGCCACAGGGAGAGATGGTCTTCCTGGAAGCTAAGAAATTTACCAGCATTTTAGGAGTGATTGCTGGCAATGAGCTGATGTCTAAGAAAGATAAGTTGCTAGGAAAATAATACATCAGTGTTTGAAAGCTTGAATTAATATTAAAGAGAATTATTAAACTCATATTTCCCACCAGAATAAACATATATACCATGAGACATATCAAAAACAGCATGACTTTGAGTGGTACATCATCTGTGAATCCAACAAATATAAACTCAGTTGGCACGGTATAATTACTCTTCCACATCTTAGTTCTCTTGTTTTCCTCATTGCAGAGAGATGGTATCAAGCCTTGAGTTGACTTGATTTATGAACGAACCAAAAATATGTATTCTGTCGTCTAAGGAAGCAAATAGATGGTGAATAAAATCACAAATATGACATTTTTATAATATGATTTCTTATTTATGTTTTTGTCATTTCAAAAGGAAGTAATTAGAAATTATCATTGATAGCAGAAAATGTTATGCAGTTGGTGGCATTTCATGATGCAGTAACTCTAAAAGCTATGCACATTATGAAATGATGTTAGTTCTTTTCAAGGTGAAAGGGGATAAATGTGGCTTATGTGCTGGGACCTGGTATAATAGTGTGAGCTGGCAAAGTCTTAAGAAGAAAATCTCTATTTTTACAATCCTAAACCGTGTTCTTTCGTGTCAAGGATGTTAGGGTACGGACAGGGTGAGGGTGGGTGGATGGAGAGATGGAGAGGGGAGGCACGGCACCAGGAACCCAGAGATCTGAGTGAATGCAAAGAAAAGCAACACACAAAGAAGCAAGCAAAGAAAGAAAAGCTTACTTAAAAGTAAATTAGATAGAGAAGGGAGAGAGAAGATTTACCTCCCCAGGGTGGGGGAGGGGCCAAAGCCAGGAAGCATGGAGACAGCCATGGCTCAAAGAGCACCTGGCCACACCAGAGTCTAGCAAGGCAATGGCCGCTGGTTCCTGGTGGTTGAGTCCTTTTAACCATTCCCCTTGATGGGGGAAGATCATGAAGGTGATTGGGCGGTGGTCTGCTCCATGTCATCACGAAGGGCAGACAAGCGCAGGTACTGAGGTCAGGTGATGGACAGCAGGCAGATGGGTGGGTTAGTCACATGATTGCTGCCATGGTGGGGTGTATTCATGTCAAGTAGGTCACAAAGGGCTGATTAGGTTAACCCTGGGGTGGGGATTTCCTGCAAGAGACTTGTTAGACATTTGCAATTCACAAGCTCAGACATTTGCCACTCACAAATTCCTTGACCAAAAGTGGTGATATTCATGACTTTGGCCAGTCAAAAGTTGATCTTTTATCTTCAGCCTTGACAAGGAACCTAAAAGTTGACTAGAGATTTTTATGCTAAACCATGAATTGAAAGGTTGGGCTGTCCTGGTCTTGTATCTGTTGGAGATTTGCCAAGGGGGACAGGATAGGCTGCTGCTTGTTTTGCAGTAGAATATCTGAATGCTTTCTAATGGCTATGCTGAGGCAGAAAGGCTAAGTTTCTTCTAGGTTTCTATAGGTACTTTTCAAAGGAGAGGTGAAAAAAATTGGGAAAAAAATGTAGCTTCACCAAAGTAAATCTGCGATTTTGAAAGGTAGTTTAACACGATAGTTAAGAGCATGGTAGTTATGCAAGAGGTCATTGGATTTAAAAGTTGGTTTTGTTGCATACCTTTTTTGTGACCTTGGTTAAGTTATTTAACTACTCTGTGATAATCAGAAAAATAAATATTCTTAGCAAGTAGATACTTTAAAATTATTTTGTGAATGGACATGAAAAATACTATATTAGCATTTATTAAGTAAAATTCATAAAAAGTAAGTAATTTGAGTCTCCCATTTCTATTTTTCTTGTTGTCTTAACACCTTGAGATATTTAGATAGTTCTCAAGATTTGTTTTGTCTTTGGTATGCTAGGTGCATGATCTATATACCCTCTTGTAAAGATAAGTCAATATATTTGTATGCATATGTTCACATGCATGCAAATGTATTGTTTGACAAAACTAAATCTTTTGCTTATGCCCTATAATTGTTGCTTTGTTTTCCCAAGGTTTATTTTTCTTACTTAACCCTGGGGTAAAGCATTGGCATGAGGTTCCAAAAAACATTAGCGTGTTTCAAAAGGGGTTATTAATAAAGAGGTTAATGTAGGCATGCCTGGGATTAGGGGAGGGCTACCATTCCAGGAGTGGTCAGGGAAGGCCAAGGCTCAAGAAAGAGTCAAAAGTGTAAAGACCTAGAGGAAGAGCCTTCCCGGCAGAGAGAACACAAGGTCACGGCCTGGGCTGAGCTCATGCACTTGGGGAGCAGATACACTGCTGTGGAGCTTGGCAGGAGAGGGTATGCCTGGGGAGAGCAGGGAGGAGGGAAGGGCTGGGTCACTTCACAGAGCACTTGGCAGGCCAGGTCCAGGTCCCCTCCCTTTTTTGTCTGAGTCAGGCTCTCACTCTGTCTTCCAGGATAGAGTACAGTGGTGCAGTCATGGCTCACCACAGCCTCACACTCCTGAGTTCAAGTGATCCTCCACACTCGGTCTCCCAAGTAGCTGGGACTACAGGTGTGCACCACCATGCTCAGCCTTTTTTTTTTCTTTCTTTCTTCCCTTCCCTCCTTGCTTTTTTTCTGGAAGAGACAAGGTCTTGCACTGTTGCCCAGGCTGATCTCAAACTCCTAGGCTCAAGTGATCCTCCCACCTCAGCCTCCCACAGTGCTGGGATTGCAGGGGTGAGCCACCATGCCCAGCCTGATGTGCCCCTTTTGAAGGCCTCTCTGACTACCGTGGAAAGTAGAGATGCAGGAGTTAAGTGTGGGAACCCACCACAGTCCCACACAGGAGACACCCTAGACGACCCTCCCAGTGTTACACGTGGGGGACTGTCTTGGGGAATCGTGAGTTTGGCAGGCTGTGGGCTCCTGTGCAGGCCTGGGAAGGATGGACGGTGGGGAACCATGCATCTGGCCAGGGTAGTGGGGGCCTCCGTGGGACAAGAGCTGGCGGGCAGCCGGGCCTGGCATCCCACTACCCAACCCATTTAAGGCGATTCAGGAGCTTCTTAGCAATCCACATCCTGTGGGCATCTTTGGCAGGAGACTTGGCAGCAAAAGGCTGTTTTGCTAATGGCTAAAATCCACAGAGCACTCATTGGCTCTAGCTGCCAGGAGCTGTGCTCAGTGCTTTATGGTGATTACCTTGTTTATTACCCACAACAAGCCTTCAGGCAGGTAGTGTTGTTATCCCCATTTTGCAGATTAGGAGACTGAGAGAATGCTCAAAATCAGGAAGGATTTAAACTGGGGGTGTAAGGACAAAAAGCCAAGCTGGACATGATGGCTCATGTCTGTAATCCCAGCATTATGGGAGGCCGAGGCAAGAGGACTGCTTGAGCCTAGGCGTTGGAGACAAGCCTAGGCAACATCGCGAGACCTTATCTCTACACAAAATTAACCAGACATGGTGGTGAATGCCTGTGGTCCCAGCTACTTGGGAGGCTGAGGCAGAAGGATCGCCTGAGGCCAGGGGGTGGAGGCTGCAGTGAGCCATGGTGGTGCTGCTGCACTCCAGCCTGGGTGGCAGAGCGGGACCCTAAACCCCTTTACTTCTTTACTAAAGAAGTAAAACAGAAAGTCCACACAATCCCACCACTCTCTCTTGTAGCTCCGTAGGAGGGCTGAACTATGGTTGAATCCAACTTCGAGTTCCCCAGGCATCGCGATGTGGGTGGCTCAGCCGGGATTCACATCAGACTTTTTCTCGGTCAAGTCGTGTTCACTTGTGTTCTCACAGTGGTGTGTGCTGACTTCTCTATCATGTTTGTGCCACTAAAGCACTGAACTACCCTTCCTCCCCCCAAACCTGTTGGGAGGCAGCACAGTGTTGGTGAACTGCCCAGCCAAGGACTCAAATCCAGCTCTAAATGCTCCTGAATGCAAATTACTGAACCTCCCAGGAACTTCAGTTTCCTCATCTGTAAAATGGAGGTAAATACAGCACCTGGCTCATCGGGTAATAACTGTAAAGTGCTCAGCACATCCAGCCAGGCCAGCAACAATGGCTGCTGTGATGGTTCCACCCTCTTTCCTCCTGAGGCAGGAATGTCCTTCCAGTTGGCAGCCCTAGGAGGCATTTCAGATCCTTCTCCACAAGCTCAAGTTCATGGCTGGAGTGCTGCTCTAACTGTAGCTCTGCATTTGGTGCTATAAGGTGGGGAGGCGAGGAAGGGGCTTCCCAGGCGAGGGCAGCCTTCAGTGTGACTAGATCCTGAGTGGCCGTGAGGTGTCCTTGCACCCGTTTTGCAAGCTGCATCTTGGACCTCTCGCCCCTGAGGTCAGAGGTCAGCAAACAGTTCTCAGAGGCAGTACTTCCCAACTTACTCATTTCACCACATGCAGAAAACAAGGGCAGCTCCGTGGAGCAAATGGACCAGGCTGATGGAGCTGCCATCCTGGGCTGCGATGCCCGCTTGAGGCCTGAGAGGCTCTAGAACCCGCGTCAGGCACGCTCGTGGGCAGAGCTCTCTGAGGGCCCTGGTGGGCGCCTGCCTTTGACGGCCGCCTTGTGGTGCTTGCTGAGTTCTGCCCCCAGGATCCTGCCAGGGCTGACCTTCCTGACCTTCTCAGCTGTAGAGAGAAGGAATCATTTCCAGATTGTGTTCTCGGAAGATGGTCCTCTCGGGAAGCAGCAGGGTTCAGTCTGGTTGTGGCAGTAGGTCTCCAAATTGAGACAGGCACATTTCCTGACGGGAAAGAGACTCCTAAGTACCCCCTGCCCCAAGGCTAATGTAACTCTTCTTTTTCTTTGAGTCGAAGTCTCACTCTGTTGCCCAGGCTAGAGTACAGTGGCACACTCACCTCAGCCTTGATCTGCTGGGCTCTGGTGATCCTTCCACCTCAGCCTTCCAAGTAACTGGAACTACAGGCATATGACACCACACCTGGCTAATTTCTGGATTTATTGTGGAGACGAAGTCTTGCCATGTTGCCCAGGCTGATCTTGAACCAGCGGGCTCAGGCAATCCTCTTGCCTCAGACCCCGAAGTGCCAGGATTATAGGCGTGAGCCACTGCGCCCAGCCTGTACACTTTTTTTGTGATGCCAGTTACACGTATAACTCTTAAGTAAATACCAGTCTAAGATGAAAGGGTGATACAGGCTTCGGAGGTCAAAACTATATAGAAAATTATAACTGGACAGTGGCTCACTCCTGTAATCCCAGCACTTTGGGAGGCAGAGGCGAGAGGACTGCCTGAGCCCAGGGTTTC